GGCAAACAAATGCACTGGAAAGGAGCTGGAAAGGCATGGGGAAGAATGGTACTAAACAAGCATAGAGAAAAATAGCATGACGGGCACGGAGTAAAAAGACACAACCGCACCTGAAATGACACAGGTGAAATGACATGGAGAGGAAAAGCATGGGGAAAAAAGGTACCAATATAAAAGCACTGCAAAGTTCCATCTCTAGTGCCAGTTTGATTGTGTACTATTATCAGTGCCTTTTACACACATAAAGAACTCATAACCTAATTCTTGCACTTAAATTCCTTTTAATTAGGTGTAGGGGAAGGCACAGCTCAGTGCCTCTTCCGGTGCCGTTAAAAAAGCACATTTTCGACTCCCTTAGAGAAACCCTGCAAGTATTCGGTTCGCAGATTCCAATACCAACAACAAGTAGTCTTCAATGTATCGATTTTCAGGTTTTAGTCTCTGGAAACTCAAGAACTTTGAATGGACAAGACGGGTTATTTCCATCCCTGTTCAGCCGTCACCTAACACTTGACCCGATCATCTTCATATGACTGCTTACTATGTACATAAGATCCCCATACGCCGGGTAAGGTCCAGGCCGTAACTATATTTCATATGTGATCATTTTCGCTAGCGAATTATCATATCCGCACGAACGGAACTCGGGCACGCCTTCAGTAGTCTCCAGAGAAGATTATTGTACTGGTCTCTGTGCTTCAGATGTAAGGAGTAATTATGAGGAGTATAGTTGGATGGAATCCTCATTTTGTAATCGTAATTAAGAGGGTTCGATAAGGCTCTGTAATCAACTTCACCGAGTGATTTTTCGTAATTTGTAGGTGAAAGTAAGTACCCAGCACACCAAGGACAGGGCAGTAGAAGGTATTAGATGTCACCCCCTCATCATCATACTCACCCTTTCAAACAATATTATTTCCTCAATAGCGCCCCGGCCTAAACCCAAAACACTAAATTTACCAGTACAAATTCGAAAGTATGTAAGCCTCAATGGTTGAAACCTAAATCCCGGGTAATCAAGAAGCCCTGTATGAAGCACGAAGGCCGCTATAGTATTTGCATATACTCTACAATCAAATCAGGTAGGAAATGGACCAGGAACCACTCGTTCCGTATCTACCTCATGTCTCGCTAGCCCAGTGGATTACCATTGACGGAGTTTCAAACTAGGAAAGTCATCTCATTGACATGACAGTTTGACAATATAGAGACCGCATGTTTTGGATATCACTCGTACCCCAAAACTACTATTCATCATGTGGGCAACAAAACAGGCCCCACTGTAAAGCACTGCTATTACGAAAGAAGAGTTTGTATCAGTTCGCAGTTTGGTTGAAGCAAATTCACTTTAAGCCGCATCCCACCAAGTTTTCACTTGCTGTATAGACCAAATAGTATCATTTCGGTGTTGTGCGTCAAGCCTGCGACAAGTGACGATTGCATTCCAAAGCTCCGGAATTGAACCTGTTGAAGCCCTTGACTCTTTGATCGCGTTGGGGACCCAGTTAAGGGAATAGTGAAGCTACCTAGAGAACACGGTTCAGTTAACGTTTTGCGCTAAATTAACCGAGCGTGGATCGCCGAATGTATAGATCACTCAGGATGGTTGCTCACAGAGATATCCGGATAACAGTGGCGATAAGGAATACAAATAAGCCTTTTGCTTGCACAATTTCCCACTCTATCAAACATGACGTATTTAGGGCACTTCTTGCGGCCTTAGGGGTCATATACGGGAATGTAATGTGGTGATAGCGATAGTGCTACCAATTGGCAATACCCATTATCATGATGTACCATCGTGGTAGTAAGCTCTAATAATTGTGTAAATTACATGTATATGTGATTCGAAATTGTGGGACTGCTGAAGGTAATTGTATTTACCCTAACTATAATTCACTACATTTTCCAACAATCTCATGTGGCTCCTACAGGCATTCGGCGCCCAATATCGACAACGTCATCGCTGACTGAGTTCGACATCCGCAGCTAGTAGGGATCACTTCCCCTGGCGATGACAGGATGAATGCAAACATAGTATATTCGGCGGATTTTCAACTTTCCGGAAATCACAATACCCTAACCCGGCCTTAAATCTTAAATGAATTATAATGGCTAGCTTCGGCATTTAGAATGACTCTTAGCTTTACTTAGTTCAGGTTAAGGGCTTTTCAATTCTAGTAATTTCAAAAACTATCGAGTAGACGAATAAGTAACGATGCTGCTGCGAGCAAGGGCCCTACCTTGCACAACGAGACGATCCACAATAACTTGAACGTATTCCTCGACCCCTCCCCATCAAGTATGCTAATCTACTTCTGCACTGCCTCATGGCAAATCTCTGATTAGCGGTAGACAACATCATTAGCATGGAGGTCCTCTTGAACTTTCCGGAAAAATAATGGCCACAAAACGTATCTTCGCTTCGAATTGAAATCTGTGTGATGGAACTTTCGCCGCTATCGGCCATGAAGGCATTGATATCTGATTGCCTATAGGATATAGAAGGACAATTCGGAGAGTTGTAGCGCCTAAGAAGCTTTCCCAGGTAAGTAAAGCTTCTACGCCTGTACAGGGAACAGCGACTGAAGATGTCAGGCCAAGATTCGGAAACTTCCGAACACCATGGCCGCGGGGTAAAGCTATGAGCAATCAATTGAACGCCGCAACCAGGCTCCGTTACCTACTCAACCTGATATGGCAGATCAGGCATCCCGAGCCTTCATACCGAGCAGTGGACACGAGAATCAGGAGACACTAGCTTCCGCTCGTTTTCCAGAACTGCATTCTTGGTAGGGACTTCTCTCTGGGCAATTTTGAAGTCCGGTTTTGATTCTTGATGAAATTTCTAATCTCGCAGTTCACACTTTGGAGCCTAGTCGTGCAAGGATTATTCTTTGACCCACTCTCTTCATCACAGGAAGAATTGTTGAGGAAATGATAGGCCCACTATAACTGGATACCAGCCAATCGACAGTGATCTGCGCAGTGTTTAAGTCAGAAAATGGCATAACGCGAGAGATAACAGATATAACGAGTGATGACATAGAGAAGATCTACCGACTGGCTCCGGGACACTGGCATCCCCGAGAACAAGGAAGCTAACCACTAAGCGAATAAAGCCCAAGAAGGCCGAGGAAGCACAGTACATGAGCGGCTATACTCCTCGGCTGCGAATAGAATAGGTGGATCTCTGAAGGAAGGATGGCAGCAAGGCACAATTGGAGGCCGAGAAGTGCAGCGACAGACTAAAGGGCAAGGCCCGAAGCAAGAGGCCCATCCCAATGACAACCAGGAAGTCTTTGGTAGCTAGATTGTATTGACTAAAGTGTAGGCATGCACCGACAGGATATTTGAAACTATTCAGGCGTCAAGATGACAACAAGTGCTGGTGGAGCCTTGACATGGGAACACCTTTTCCGGTATTGAAGCTAGTGGAAAGATGAGTACCAGGAGGTCTGGGAAGAGCTGGGGAAGGTGATGGGATGGAAAATGGGCAGATGTTGACACATGCACATATCTGAACTATTTTCAACGGAGATATGTGACTAGGCGGCGATAGACTTGCTTGCAGCTACAGACATTGGGAAGTTCCCACCCATGTGAGTGAGTGGAGGTGCGGAGGTTGGCGGTCTCTCTCTTTTTCCTTTCTTCTGTTATGTGGGTTGTGGGTGCAGTCAGTCTTTTGCTCTTCTTTTTTGCTAGAGCGGACAAAGGGTAGCGGCTGGGCATCTCCGCCATCCAACCAGCTCGCCTGGAGGCGCAAGGGATATGGGCTCTGTTCTACTCTACCTAGAGTGCATACAGTATGAATAAAACAAGAAAACAAAAAGTGACCTACTGACTAGTGTTACTTTGGATCCTGGATCAGCTTCGACCACCAGTGACTAATATGGGTACCACGCTGGGAGTGTTAGTGAATGGATCAGAATCATAGTGTCCGGACATTGGGTATTATGATGCGACTAGGTGTGGTTCCTAATTGTAGGCGGCGTTTAAAACTTGGGGATTGTGACCAAAAAGGGGTTAGAACTGTGGAGGGCTACGGACGTACAAGCGAAAGTTTAGCATGTGTAGACGAAAGAAACTGTCTTTCCCATCCACAAAAAATGCTTTCGCATCTTATTCCATAGTTCAAAACACTGTTATAAAGTACCTTTCGTGAGGGTCCGACATAGGAAACCATCTATAATAGAGCATTCTGCACTGGCAGCTGGATATTGTAACCAATTTAAGCCACTTTTAATGGGAGTACAGCACTCTCAAAATGTCACAAGTTAAAGCAAAAAGGCATGAAAAACACATTTTCGACTGGGTTAGAATTTTGGACAAGCTGACTGTTCCACAAGGGGAAAAAGATTGTGCGTGCATATTGTAGTGTGTATAAGGAGAGAGACAAGAGAGTATCTTAAGATTATTTCTCAACAATGTGATAGTGGAAGCAGAGGGCGGCCATAAGTACAAGTGCACATGCATGTGACGAGCGCAGGGATATCGCAGTGAGTGATATTTTGTGAATAAGAATCGAATGAGGCTGGATGCAGTAGGAATTACTGTTGTTACCAACCTATCCAAGCGGCTTCACCTATCAATGAGTATCACATAAGGAGACTGAGCTCTGTGGCTACATTGGATATGTCATTTTGTCCTTCTACAAGATAGATTAGTGACCCGCTATATCCGAAGAATCAGACTCGCCGCAGTATACCGGAGGTCTAGCGCAATGCCAATCTCCCGTCATGTGACTGGACTAGACTTATCCCGTTGTAAACTTGTTTTCTCAGCAGTCCATAATGGCAATCATTCTTTGCCATGATAGATGTTATTTGCAAGCTTGATAACAGACTTACGGGCTTGTAGAATATTACTTATTCTCTGCTACCCTTGGGAAATTATTCCCGCTGATCAGACCTAGGCATTGTACTCTAGTCAGTTACAACTCCATCGTATGTTCGGCCATACTTTACCCAATCAAGCATCAAGCCACCAATAGAAAAAAAAGCCCCTGGCAGGTTTCGAACCCGCGACCATGAGATGGACAATAATCTCAGTACCCCATGCCGAACAGCCCCCCACCTGCTGACGTGGCGCACTAGGATAACCCTAAATTTCTCTCATGCTCTACCACTGAGCTACAGAGGCATATTTCAAACATTCAGAACCGGCAAACATCAGGTCGGATTAAAGTCAGATACAAGTAACAATGTAGCTGTGGGTTAGCATTGCCCGCTTACTTATACGGAACATCTGCAAGCACCGCATACGTGACCAGGTAGCAATTATTGGCCATCCACCGTAGACTCTCACACGATGCGGCTCCTGTCAGATGTCCTTACGATTGTCACATATTTGATAACTTTGTAGTGCGGATAACGAGGTCAAGAGCAGCAGCTGCACGACCCCAGAACCTTCGCCTTTCATCAGGAGCGAAACAGAACACATGGTAGGTCGGGTATGGTCTCTTGTTGAACATAGAGGAGTAAGGTCAAATATTATGTCCATGTAGAAGGAACAGCACGCACGGCAGGGACACACGCCAGAAAGCAAAATGACTCAAGACATACAACTTCTCACGAATCTGACAGAGCAACAGTATGAAATTGGCAGTAGATATAGATTAAGACTACCGCTACATTGAATCATATCTCTCAAGAGTTAACTGAATTCAGATGCGGAAAGGTTCGGGAAACAGAATTATAAAAGAGAAATGTCGGATTTGTCTTTTCATGGACCTGAGACTGGTAAGTAACAATACTATAAATTCGTATGCTCCATAAAATGAGAAGCACCAGGGGTTCAATGTGGCACAACATCGGTCCAACAACCTTAGTTAGGGGCAGTGTCCACCCAGGAGGTCTTTGGATGCAACCTCCGGTGGTGTCTTTGAGTACGATATAAAAGATATCCTAGAGCATGTCGGAAGTATGGGTTTTGAAACACCGCCCAGTATGGGCGAGCCCACATATTGCGATTTAGGATTGCAGTGTTAGAAAAGTAGTTGCTTCTATCATTCACAGGCGCTCTCTATCTACGCCTTTTATACATGTACATGAGGCTACCCCTTTCTACACATGTACGCGCACTCATGCTCCGCCCTATGCATGATGTTCCATCTCAGCTTGTCTTATATGCTATTCAGCTCCTCCTGATCTCACATTGTGATCCTCAAAATGGCTACTAATAGATTATATGATTACGGACATCTCTACTTTTAACACTACGGTTAGGTGAAAAAGATTTATCTCAGGGTGAAAGACATATGTCTATGAGCAAGTAGAAAGAATTTACCTGATGGTAAGAGATATGTATCTGAGCATCCGGTATTTCTATCTACCTAACGTACAATACTAGTAGTTCTAGGCAGTGCATAGCAGAATCAGTAGTGCTATGCCTGTTTGTTATATCCTGAGTGTTTCAAATACAAAATTCATCAAAACTTAATCAATTTTTAAGTAAAAATTCTAAAATTTGGATCCTTAATATAGTTGCTTTTGAAAGATCTGTCAGTTTTGTTTTTTTTTCAGAATATTTTGTCAGTTTGAAAATGTTATTCGCATGGGTTAAAATAGAGAAAAAACACTGAGTGGCTATTATACCATATCCCTTTGCCGGTAGCGGGCCCTTTCGTGAGCCCGCTTTTGGGCGCACTACACATTGTTGCTTACTACAGCCCAGCCATTCCTTAGACCAACCCTAGAGAATTATGAATTCAAAGACAATTACTAAATCTTGTCGCAGTGTGATAAATTCTGAGTTGCTGAGTTTGATATAAATACCAGTACTTTAGGTGTTGTGAGAGTACTGTCTTTCAGTACAGCGGCAACCACCTTCCCACCCTCCCAACCATCACAAAACAACAACCATGAGTAGAGAAGTCCTCAGGCTATGGGATCTAAATTTCAACTACCTACCCGCACCCCTGGTAATCTCATCCCCATCATCTTCACCAAAATTGTGCTAAAAAGAAAAAGTACCAAGCATCAGATCTCAGACACTTACTTTGCTGAGAAATGCCACACCTTTGGACCACCCACACTATTCACAACTTTGCAGCCCCCATCTATCCCTGAACTGCAGTATTGCAATCTACAACCACAGCTGTCCAACAATTTTAGATCTTGACAATATCTATTGCCTATTCAATAAAGTATATATTGAGCTAGCTTCATACAATATAGGAAACTGCTTGGCCAAGTGGCAGATAAAATCTGCAACATATATACAAGAGTTTGATACAGTGGGATGTAACCATCAGGAAAAACACATTCAAAATTTTGGGTTTCTGAGTTTCTGAAATTGGCTGGTACAATATTTACTTAAAGATCCTTGCTGGATAGTTGTTGATATCACTGAGGCGTATATCGGGAAAAAAACTATGTCACACCCAGAACATACATAGGCCGGGGGTGCATCAGTCACTCCAGATGAAACCTCTTGAGCATCGTTGTAGCGTGGCACTGCATGTGTGTATATACGACCCCTGGGGTTGTGCTTGCACCTCCGGACGTAATATTCATTACTGATACAGCCATGATGTGCACTCACATCTTATGGATACAGTATCCATTACTGACACAGCCATGAACTGCACTGATATCCTACTCACGCAGTATCTCTTACTGAGGCAGCCATGCAGTGCGCACATCTATTGATCTCCAATACAACTTATATGACACCTGAGTGCAATACCCACCTTGGCAAAATGCAGTATTCACTGCATATGACATTTATCCAATGCCCGGAATTGCATTCACCTCTCAGGTGACGGATATAGTGCAGTTTGCATGATGTTCAATATTAAAGTCTAATAAATACAGTTTCCCATTCTCAATGCCTCATGTTGTAAATGCTATGTTACACGTAGTGTTGGCAACGAATCGAATTAGTTCGTGATGGATCGAACTGAGCAGGGATTCGATTCGAGTTCGATTCGACATTTGCGGATTTCCGCCGGTTCGCACAAAGCGATTCGCGAACCATGATTTTCGAACGAAAATTTGGTGTGGTTTGAGCGGTTGCAACGCGAATTTCTTGGCAAATTCGATCCGCCACGAACCTAATTGGTTCGTCAATTCGCACGAACCCCTACGGTTCGTTGCCAACACTAGCCATCACCATTGCCATCACCATCACCATCGCCATCGCCATCACCATCACCATCACCATCACCATGGATATTCCGTGGATAGTTGATTATGATCGGCTGCACTCGCACTTGTATACATGGAGATTTCATAGGATTCAAGCAGCAGATTCCTCTCAGAAAACTGACTCGGAGATCTGACCTCCCAAAGACCCAAATTACTACCATCAAGCATATATGTTCAATGATAATCTTCAACACCATCGCCTTTGAACATCATGAGATTAAGAGCCTTGCAGGTGGCGGTAGCATAGCCTGGTGGATATGCAAGGCGATCGACATCATGATTCCGACAGAATAAGCTTTCGGCTATAAGTTTAGATCATGATTTCGCCGGTAGCACGTCATCGCACTATTCAATGATGAAGGTCCTAGAGCCTCGGAAAAAGCCGGTGCAAGGTTCGAGGGAGCCTCCAGGAGCACTGGTGTAAGGTTCTGGAGCCTCCAGAAGCGCCGGTGCAAGGTTCAGTCTCTCTGCCGCTCTCAAGTTCATCCATCTTCTCTGTCTTTCCTTCTAGTTACATTCAGCTTTACCTGCGCATTGCCAGTCAACAGTCAGTTAACACGATGAACCAGTTTTCATCTATCCTTGCTGGATCAATTACTTTCGCAAACCATGTGGTTCTCGTTTCTACCGCCGGCTTCAGAGGCTGACTCCTCTCTATTCAAGTCAAGTCCTCCACTCGGCTTCACGATCGTGGGATAACATCTCTCAAGCCATGTTTTGTACCAATTACACTCGCATTCCGCCTGGCCCTCGCACTCTGTAATCGGCTGCAGCAACTTTGGCACCGCAAGATTGGAGGTGTTCGACTTAGTGCTATGGGCAATTGGAATCGCCCTTCGAAATTGTGTTGCAAGAGCAGAAGCACTGTGGGCAAACGGAGTCACGACATTGGCGATTTTCGATGATTCGTAGGCAGCCATCAGATGGACGATACACTTGGACCCAGTGCCAGGGCAGCAGCTAGCGAGCACAATCAACAAGCATACCAGGGCCCTCCGCGGCCATGTCATCGAAGTCGTGATCCACTGGGTCTCTGGACACTCAGGCATGCCCTGGAACAAAGAGGCCAACTGCCAGGTGAACAAGGCACGAAATGACCGAGGATACACAATACATGAGCTAATATACACCTCGGCCGCGAACAGAGCCAGAACGATCTGCAAGGGACGGTCAGCAGCAAAGGCACAGTGGGAGGCCGCCAAATGCAGCAAGCACTTCGGTTACAGACTGAAGGGCAAGGGCGGAAGCAAGAGATCCATCCCAATGACAAGCATGAAGTCTTTGGCATCCAAGTTCTATCAACTAAAGTCCGGGCATGGGCCCACAGGAGTATACCTGAAACACTTCGGACACCGAGAAGACGACAAGTGCTTGTGGTGCGGAGGAACGATATCCCAGATGCAGGAGCACCTCTTTCGCCACTGCAGCCAGTGGAAAGACCAGCAGAAAGGGCACCGGAAGGCGGTGGGGAAGGGGCTGGAAAGCGGGCAGATGCCGGCACGTGCAGGTCTCTGAGCTTTTTCGCAGGGAGAAGTGCGATTGCATACAGTATGAATAAAACAAAACAAAAAAAAAGAACTCTCCCTGCCATGCATTTGCTGCCGAGCACTGTACGTGCAGCCTCTCGTCTCTACCCAAGTTAAGTCCTCCACTTGGCTTCCCCATCGTTGGTTAACATTTTCCAAGCTAGATATCGCTCCAATTACTCGCGTTCTGTCTTGCCCTCGCTTTCAGCAACCAGCTTCAGTGACCATCTGTCTCACAATCAAATGTGTTCGGTAGCCTCAATCTCTCTCCAAGCCCGCTTGAAATCCATCTCGTCCAAAAGTTCGCTCTAGATCTATCTCGTCCATTTCTCTCAAAGCACGATTGAAAGCTGTCTCTCATCTGTTTTTTCGTTCAACCGTGTATATATTGTAGATAGATGGATAAGATTTCACTCTTATCGAAGGCCTGTGCAAACGTGAAATCAGGCGGGCCGAGCATCTCAGG